ACTCTTCTGAAACCCTAGTTTTGAAGAACTGTTACATAAGCTAATGAGTACATCATATCAATAATTAGTGTAAAAGGTGTATTTGTGAAAAATGCTGATATAAAAACAATAATAATTATATAAGTAGAACTGAACAGGCATATTTATATATGCATATGTGTATATCTATCAATATCTATCATCTCTCTATCTATATCTAGAGAGAGAAGTTTCTTTGTTAAGTATAGTAAACCTGGGAATTTTTTTAAAGATTTATTTATTTATGATTACAAGAACTGGGGTACAGGTCAGAGGTGTGGGAGGTGAGAGGATTCACTCATTCAGAGACAGAGTGGGGAACAGGCACATAGACCAAAGTACACTGCTGAGGGGAGCAGCGAGAGAGGTAGGAGATGTCTGCTGTGCCATGTGGGTAGCTCCCTGGCCAGGGATCAAACTTGTGCTGCAGAGGCTGCAGACAGCTTCACAGCACTGGGCTCAACACCTTGCTTCACCAAGGAGGCCCTCCTGGGAAATTTTTTAAGAGGCAACCATAGAGAATCTGAAAGGTGATAAAAAGAAGCAAAGCCTTAGAACTAAAGAAACAATACAATGACAGGTGTTTTAGGTCACCTAATCCAACAATAAAAGACAATCCAGATCCCCTACCTTGATCCTAGCAACAGAAAGCATCCCAGGAATCTATTCCCTACCTAGATCAAGCTGAACACCCTTCCCAATGCCCACCCCCCTAAAAAAATTAAATAAGTACACCACCACAGACAAGGAAGACCAATTGAAGCCATATTAACAAAAAGCAGCCAGGAAAAGCACCGAACTTCCTCCTTGGGTCCACAATTCTACTTTCCTCAAAGTTTTCTCAACATGGCAGTGGGTGGAAACACCAAAGATACTTAAATAGCAAGTGACCCATACATACTGGGATAGCCAGTGGGCAATAATGAGAAACCTCAACACAAGGATTGATCCTCCCAAAGGAGCCTTATCTCCATGAAGACATCAGGAGGTACAAGGTTGGGTGACCAGCACTGACAAAGACAGCCCTGGCACTACATGGGGCCAAGCCCCAACAGCTTTTTAACCTTATAACCTTGTTACAGATACACCTGCATGCAGAGAGGATGACAGTGTATTTAAATTTTTTTATTCTTAAAAAGCATAATCTAACTATATAGTGTTTATAATAAGTTATCTCAAATTCAGCAATGTAAGTGTTTTCATAGAAAAAAAGATGGAAAGATACAACATACAAATACTAATCGAGCAGGGAAAAAGCACTAGCTGTATTAATGTTGAACAACAAAAATAACTAGAGACAAACAGCAACTTTACATAATGATAAAAGGATCAATCTACCTGGAAGACACAGACTCCTAATGCATAATCTCTATTCAATGGAGCCTTAAATTACTTGAATCAAAAACTGATAAAGCCTAAATGAGAACTAGATAAACTTATAATTGTGCTTGGGATTTAAACAACCCACTGTTCATAATTTAAAAAAAAATGAATAGACAAAAAATTTACAAGGATATAGAAGATCTGAATAACTGAATCGATGATAATATCTTATTGACATACATAGAACATTCCATCCAACAATAGCAACACTCTTAAATCATTATCTAAACAGACCTCCCTATCTGTGGATTACACCAACATATTTTAAAAATTCTTTTTTATTTACCTAAAATGTTTGTAATATATTTCCTCATGTAAATTAATTTTTGTAGTTCCAGTGATACACTTCATATACATAACTTTCAGGGGTTTACAGCAGCTCTCTTTTTACAATTTGACATAAGAATAGAAAATTTATGGCCCTCCCTAGTGGCGCAGCAGTTGAGCTCTGGACTGCAAAGCTGCCCCGCAGCCTCTGCAGCTGCAGTTCCATCTCCGGCTGCTGGCAGGGGTCCTACATGGCACAACATATCTCTCCTGCAGTGCCCGCTGCTCCCCTCAGCAGTGTATTTCATCAGTCTGCCTGTTCTGCTCCCCACTCTGGCTCTGGTGAATTCTGTCACCCTCCCGTGCTTCTGACTATACCCAGTGCTTGTATAAATAAATAAATAAATCTTTAAAAAAAAAAAAAAAGAATAGAAAACTTACCCCCTTTTACGACCCTTTGCTCCTCTCACTTTACCAATATAATTTTCTTAACTATCTCGTCTACATCTTAAATATCTCTTCTACATACATCTAGGACTGTATTTACATTACAATATTTGTACATCTACCATCAGGTGTAATTTAAAAATCACAAGAGGAGAGGAATGCCTGTTAACCCAACTTAATATTCTGATATTCTGAGATTACTGTTTTGGCATTTCATCTAGAGAACTAGCCTTTCTTTTATGGTAGTATGCTAGTAGTAAGTTATATTAATTTTCTTTTATTTGAGAAAGTTTTGACTTCCCCTTCATTCCTTCATGGTACTTTCACAGGGCATGATTTGGCTGTGGAACATGAAAAATACCACTTTTTATTTATTGTTTCTGGTATCTGCAGCTTCTGGTGAAGAATAGACTTATTCAAATTATTTTGCCAATTTAGGTAAAATTGTTATTCCTCTGATGTCTTTGAGATCCATTTTTGTCTTTAGTTTTCTGAAAGTGATTATTATGAATGTTGAAGTAAAATTATTTGTCTTTATACTGTTTGAAGGTAACTCAAGTTCTTAAGTCTATAACTTTATGTCTCTTGCAAAATATGTGTTTTTCAGCCAATATTTTTACAAGTACTTTTAAAACTGCTCCTTCTTTGGCTTCTTCCTTCCAGAATTTCAATTAAATGAATATTGGCTATTATGCTAATGTTCTAAAAGACCCGAAGCTTTGTTCATTTTATTATCAGTTTATTTTCTCAATATTGTTCAGATTCCATAATTTCTGTTGCTTAATCTTCAGATTCACTAGGTATTGTTGATACTGCTGTTTTGGTTTTTTTTTCACTACATCTCCTTTATTCAGCTGCTGAGTTGATCCCTGAGTTTTTTATTTTGGTTACCACACTTCTCATTTCTAATATTTTTACTTAGATCTCTTTTATATATTCAATTTATTTGAAGAATTTCTCTGCATTTTCATTTTTTTCAATAGTGTTCATAATTGCTCACAGAAGAGTTTTTCCAATAACTTTTCTAACAACTCTCATCTTAGCGTTGTCACCAATCGATTCCTATTTTAAAAATCAATTTAAGATATTCTTCGTAGTGGGGAAAATATCAGGGTGAGGCCAGAGGTGTGGGGGTGAAATAATTCAGCAGAGACTGAGTGAAGAACAAAAAAGGCAAATTTATTGAAATACGCTAAGAGAAGCAGTGGACAAGATGGGAGAAGTCTGTACAAGGAGGATCTGAGGTTCTGTTTTATACTGTTTTCCCGGGCTTTCTAACTTAGGACACCTGTTTGCACCAGTTATCTGCTGGGATGTCTGGTATCAGACACTGGCCTTTGTCACAGGAGCATGTCCTGGTCCTGCTTCTGCATTCCTGGAGCTGGGCTGGTTTTTCTGGTCATGGTTAGTCAGTTTTATGTCCTTCTCCCCAACTCAGCCTTATCAATTCCCTTATCTATTCCAGCCTCTCTACCCTGCCAACTGGCAAGGACTGGAGCTTAGATTTTAACCTTATTAAATGATACCTCCACATTTGCTTGATTCTTGTCTAATGATTGATTTTCAGTTAAAGCCTGAATATTTTTGTTATGTTATTAAACTCTAGGTTTATTTAAATATTCTGTTTTAACTAGCCTTTTCTGACTCTGTTGTGGAGGGTACTGAATTGACTTGTTTCTGCCATGTGGAGGGAGAAATGTGGATTACACAATAAGCCTTTAGGATACTAGGAATAAGTTGTGGAGAGGCGACTTATTATTGCTAGACTGAGGCTAGAGTTATGGCCACCTAGAATATGTTACACTTTTTCAGTACCTCCACAGGCATCTCATTTTCTAGTTTTTAGCAGACTTCTTGATTGCTGGAGGTAGTAATTTTATATTTGACAGGAGATAGGGCCTGGGGAGTCTCAGAAAACTTGATGATACTGGACATTAACTCAGTCTGAGATTGACAAAGTCATTATACATAGAAAGTAGCATTTTCTCTACTAGAGATGCAGGGCAAGTTCACCTATACACACTCTTATAGTGACTGTCCTTTCTCTAAGAAGGAATGCTGCCCCAATATGTACTTTAGAGAAAATAAAATTTTCACCACTATCAAACCCTTTAGGCTAACAAACCTCTAGGCTGATGATGTAGAATTCATTGTGAACAGATCACAGGCACAGCGGGATATGGAGTTCCAGAGCTGGAATGACCTCACTAAAAAAGAGCAAAGAAAGAACGTCAGCCCTTTAATTATGTTGGTTAAAACTGCTCAAATAAAGCCTCTGACTGCTTCTCAGGGAGCAGAACACAGATCCTGTCTCTGATGCTGACTCCATTATACTGAATTGCATAAGCATAATGTCATTTCTTGGTACCTTCAGGGTTAGAGTCTCCATTACTTTTATTTCTCAGAGAACTCAAGAAACCAGAATCCGTTAACATTTCTCCTCAAGAAATGATGTTAAATGAATGTTAAATAAATGTCATAGAAATAGGGATTTCTGGTGAAATAGCTCTGATGCGTATAAAGTATACCAATGTAGACAAACTTTGTGAGTGTAAATTTTTCAGGAAATTGCCAGGTATGTCAAAAAGTGACAATATCTGGAGTTGGGTCTTTTTGAGAAGCTCAGAAACTCTTCTGCTGGTTGTTAGGCTGCTCATTTTGATTGCTATCAGTGTTACAAGTTTGTTAGATTCAAAGATACAATGGAGCTGGAGATGGGTGATGGAAATAAGGCAAGTTAAAACAAGATGATCTCTTTGTTATTGTAATTCAACTTTTTTTTTTTTTCAAAGAACCATGCGTTTAATTAATATTTGGATAATTCTAGGGTTCTGAGAATGTTCAACAATTGTTGGCAACATTCTCATTGTTTCTATGGAGGAGCATATTTTCTAAGACTCATTCACCTTTCAAGCGGTTTTCAAGGTTATTGTTTGAAACCACCAAGTCTGGGAGAATGTTCTTTTTACGGCAATAGCATCTTCAGATGCTGAGGTAGAAAAGTGTGAAGTGTACCATAATGCATTTTAAATCCTACATGTTTTAATATGGTTTAGGAAAAAAAACTCTTGTGCAATTTACCAACTTTTTTTATTCTGATAACTGAACATTAATTTAATATTTTGTTTGTAGATTTTTCCTTCCTAATTTTTTGTTCAGTAGATCTTATTAGTCAAGATTCTCAGCCAAATAATTAGAAAACCATTGATATAACATTTTTATTATAATTAAATGAAAAGATGCTCCCTTGTTGATTAACTTTGTTTTGCTTTTATTCTGCTTCACCCTTTAGACCATTATCAATATCAAATTATTTTTAGAAAATAACTCATAACTATAATGTTTTGAAATATATAAATTATAAAACAAAAGCTCATGTAAAATTTAAATATTTATATTTAAGACATAGCTCTATATCATATATAACATTATACTTACTAATTTATTAATCACTTGTTTGATTAAAACTCTAAAAATGATTAATGATACAAATTAAAATTTATTAATCTACAATTGCACAATCTATAAAATAAGCTAGTTAAAAAAATCATATCATTACAGATTATAATCTGTTGCTTTGTTTCAAATAGTAATGACTTAGTATGCTTTTTAAAGCCTCATTATTGTATTTCTTTTGAGATGGAAAGGATGAAAATGCCTGAAGGTGAATCAGCTGATACTGAGGTTTATTCTAGTGAGGTTTTCATGTACATTCTTGCCAATAAAACTGTAATCTACTTATGAGTAGAACTGAAGATCCAATTTCCATTGTCTGTATCTCAGTCTTTTTTAACCATCTGATATTTATCACTGAAGTATAAAAAGATATGCACTGATTAGTATTTTTATATTTTTTATATTCATTTGAAAAATTAATTGTTTTAGAAATTATCAAGTTTATTTCATGTAAACATTTTAGCATCCACAGGTGAATTAGTGAGACAAAGAATGTTACATACATTCATATAAGATGAAGTGGCAAATTTATAAACTTTTCTGGGAAAATATATTTAATGATCTCTGATCATGTGACTGCATCTCCTGAACCCTTCTCTGACATGCTAAATTCCAAAATGGATATTAAAGCACTGTGAGAGTCTGCTTTCTTTGTCTTTGTGTGTGCAATGACCAGACTCCCCCCCCTTTTTTTTTTACAACCAAGTAGGTTTTCCCTTAATAGGGGTATCTTGGGTACCTCTTTTCTTAATGCATTTTCAAAAGAAAATATACAAGAATCTCATGATGTAGCATATTTGCTTTTTATTCAGGGTTACACAGTTAAGAATTTTCTATTTCACCATTAGCTCTTCACAAGCATGGAGGGTCTGTATTGATTTGTTGACCTCCAAATGGAGGTAAATGTTAAGGAAGGAAATTTTGACTGGCAAGAAGAAATGAATGAGAAAGGTAAAAATAATATATGATATATACTACTATGTTAGTCAGTATGGCTGGTGTGTTTTATGCTGTCTGTGGAAAATTCACTCAGTCTTTTAAATCAACTTCTCTTTGATGAAAGAAAAATAAAGTTTCCCTATGATGAATTCTTGAAAATATTTTTCATATATTCAGTAACAGAGAATACTACTAAATTATCAGTGGTAACCGACAAATTGCTGGAGGTTTGGTGTGAACTCGATTGAGAGTTAAAAACTCTGAGAAGGACTGATGTTACAGGGCATCTGCACTTTCAGAAATTTGCAAATATCAATCTCAGTTTGCCTTTGCTATATATTTCTGCCTATCAAATATATTCTTCATAAAAGGTCATTATTATGTAAGTATATTAAAAATGTTGCCAAGATTACAAGCTGAAGTTGGGTCCCAGAAATCTAAGTATAATATAATGCCACTGAGAGTTTCACTCTTTAAAAATTATAATAACTGGAATGTTTCCTCCCCATCTCAGATCAGTCAAAAGATCCACTTGGGTTTTTGCAGGCATTTCTTAAAGTAGGAAATCCTCTCTCAGGATTTCTATCACAATTTCTCTTCTTACAATCTGACAAGCCTGAATTGATGGCTGAATAACTCAATTAAAACTTTTTTTTTACAGTTTCTCTCCCATTGCCTGAATATTGTATAAATGATTCCTATTAAATATATGAGTAAAGTGAAATGACTTTGCAGGAGATGAACCTTTGATAGCTAGGGATTAACTTTTCTGTGTTTGCACATGGAGGTCCCTTTTCATTCTTTATAAGTGGGTTCTAATGATACAGAAACTCCATTTATCATGGTACATTAATTAGATGTGCTTTACTCCCTAAGATAAAATGCATAATAAAAATGTAAAGCCAGATGAAACAACCTTTCTTTTTAAGAATGTCAGGAACCAGGTTATTCAAACACAGATTGCACAATTTTTTTTTTATCTTTTCTTAACTTTAATCAGCTATTGTTACCTCTTACCTAAAGCAATACTTCTTTTCTGTTTATCAGATTTTCCTATCTTTTCCTTTTTCAGATTTCTCCATCAGATTCTTGTCAGTTCATTAAGCAACATATAAATATGCTAGGTTTTTAAGATTTGCAATCCTTTTTTTTTCTGTTTTTCTTCTTTTTTTTTCTGTTTTTCTTCATCATTTCTTCCACATTAAGGCAGTGGAAACAAGCTGATCCTACTTGAAAGACCTGCACCATCATTTTGTGATTTCACTGATCACAGTGATTCACCCCACCTTGTCCCTGAGAATTCCTCTGGAATTCTGTCTTTGCTCTAACATCTTCTCATTCAGACAAAACAGCTGTTAGAATAGATGCAAGCTTTCTAAATTCCTTATGTCCGTCTCCTTTATTTCATTCATGTATTATGTGAAGAGTCTTGAATTGGGGCTCATGGTAACTAGGTGTTAGTTGGCGATTTTACCATGATATAGCATTGAGTTCCTGCTTATATTTTTTGATCTATACAATGAATGTGTTACAGAATTTTTTTAATTTCTAATAAATTTTGACATATTATGTAATTTAAATTACTTCTTATACTGAATATTATTTATTCATACTTAATATTTACAGATACTTCCTGTTTTGTAGTCCAACATGTAAAGAACTTGGAAGTCTCTCATTCTCACAAGAAAAAAGCTGAGCAAGCTAAAAAGGACTAATTTTTCCTAGATGTTTCGGGGAATTCAGGACACAAGTCAAGTTGCTGTCCCCAAGTTGAAAAGACAGACAGGTGAGTACAGAGTCATAACTTCTGAGAGCAGAAGTCTAAGATCAGAGCTTGAATATAAAACTGTTACCCGTAGTAATCAAAAAGTTGCTATAGGTTTAGTTTGGATTAGATTGAGAATTAAAAATATTGAGGGACACCAACATTGGGAGATACCTCCATGAGCCCTACCAGATTCTTACCATGAAAATTAAAAGAAAAAAATCTCTTACTTCATGCAGGGGAAGAGGATAAACAATTATCAAATATGCCAGTACTATCTGTTCTTATTAACAAAGTCTTCCCTCAAACAGAACTATTTTACTAAAGCCTAATTGACTGGGGTTTTACCAAATGATCACATGGGTAGAGGGAAACACCCAAATCCATCTCCTTTAGTCCTTAACAGGTGAAAACAAAAACAGAGATTCACCAAAAATCTAAGATCTGATAAGACTATAGATCACTTTGTCACCCCTCTTTGACCTTCCACATATTCATAAGTCTCCTGTATAGTCACAGAAGATTATAGCTAAATGAATTGTAAGCACCAAAAGTAAGGAGACTCTAGGTAAGACCAAAGGCAACAGGAGACTACAGGATATTTTATACTCTTACAGCAAAAGTACCACAAACAACAAACACAATCAAAATACTAGACAAGTAAGTATCTAACTATATCAATTTATTTTATCTAATATAACATGTCCAGCCTTCACAGTATTCATAAGGTAATCTAAAACACAAAAAATAGTCTGAAGATACCAATCAAGACATAAAATTGGAGATTTTTGAAACTTTCACACCATAATTTGAAACTAATTGATATCCTATGAGTTTTGTACAAAAAGTGGTTAGTATACAAGACCAGATGGGTAATATAAGCAGAGAGATATAACTCTAACAAAGAATCAAAAGAAAATTCTAGGAATGAAAAAACTACAATACAAATTAATAATGTCTTTGATTTTTTTTTTTTCATAGCAGACTAGACATCACCAAGAAAAAAGCAAGGGACTTAAAAATACATCATAGGCGGTGCCTCCCTGGTGGCACAAGGGGTTAGGACACAGCACTATGAAGCTGTCTACAGCCATTACCGCACTAGTTCGATCCCCGGCCTGGGAGGTGACCCACATAGCACAGCAGACCTCTCCTGTCTCTCCCACTGCTCCCTTCAGCAGTGTATTTCAGTAGATCTGCCTGTTCTGTTCCCCACTCTGTCTTTGGTGAGTCTTCTCACCCCTCTGCACCTCTGGCCTCTACCCTAGTTCTTGTATGCATAACTAAATCTTTTTTAAAAAATTAAAAAAAAAATCACAGGAACTTCAAAATCTGAAATGCAAAGAGAAAAAAATATTAAAAGCTAGCATAGACTCTAATAACAATTAGGGACAATTATTACTGTAATTGTGGGACAATTACAAAACACATGTAAGGGGATATGAAAATTTTCCTAAATTAATAACAACAAACACAGGTCCAGGAAACTCAGAACATTAAGCATGACAAAAAGGAAAAAAAATCTATACGTAGGCATATCATTTAAACTGTAGTGCTTTGATTTGAATAAAATGTGTTTTGTTCACTTTAAGTTATTCTTCAGCACAAATATATAAAGAAGACATAGCATATAATTTTAGCTCCATTTGACAGACAAGGAAAATGATGGCCAGAATGTACTTGACAGAAAGTAAATCCTAAGCTAACTCTGATAAGAATTTAGAGTTAGGAAAAAAAATGTTTAACTCCACCCTGCAGCTTAAATGTAGCAATATATTTCCAATTCCCTCTTAGAACAATGGAGCCCTTCCTCAGATACTAAGAAACAAATGTTAGAGAATCTTATCTATAAGGCATTAAAATTATATTTTAAAATAAATGCTTAATTAGATAAAGTAAATTTGAAGCTTTATCTTCATGTATAACTTCAATTTATACCTTAAACATTGCAAACCAACCATTTTGAGAAAAGTGACTTGAAAATAATTTTAACTGGGTCAGTCTCTTTTACACTTAATGATTTCTGATTTTCTATTACATTCTGTATATTCAGTTTATGAATTTAAATTTCAGAGATTTGGAGAGCTCTGAATAATCAAGATCAGAATTCAAGATCAAGAATGTCAAAGTGACCAAAGGTATGTATTATGTTACTTTTTAATGACACATTAATTCCTTGTATACTATTCTATGGAGTTGTATAAGGGCATATGTATTTCACAGAATACTATGTTGATTATAACTGATTTTATTCATTCTGACTTCTTATGGCTATATCTTTCTATTTTTTTAAGATTTACTTTTATTTATGCATACAAGAGCTGGGGTGTAGGTCAGCGGTGCAGGGAGAGAGAGGATTCACCAGAGACAGAGTGGGGAGCAAAACAGGCCGATCTATTGAAATACACATTAGAGGGGAGCAGCGGGTGAGACAGGAGAGGTCTGCTTCACCATGTGGCTTAGCTCCCTGGCCAGGGACCGAACTTACACTCACACTGCAGTGGCTGGTGACTGATAGCTTCATAGTGCTGAGACTTTAGCCCATGTGCCAGCAGGGAGGCCAGGCTATATCTTTTAAAATCAGTTCATTCATATAATTTTCATTCCTTCTGTACTTCCTCCCTCCCTCCTGCCCCCTCTTTATTTTTCATCCTGTTCTTTTTACAATATGAAGAAGAAAGCTAGTGGTATAATAAAAGTCTCCATCAATGTCAACTGAACAAAAGTGTGTTAAGACAAAATTAGATAATATAGGATAATATAGTGATGATAATGATAATGACAATAATAATAGAAACAGTAAAATATTAGCATTATGTTTTATATATGCCAGGCAGTGTTCTAAGCGTGTTTTCATGAATTAGTGTATTTAATCCTCATCTAGCATTAACCCCATTAAATAGTTTTTTAAATTGGTTTTGCAACATGAAAAACCACAATTAGACAGAATTCTGGGATGAAACCCACATGATTCCTGGAGTCTTCACTCTTAGTCACTACAGGAAAGTCTCAAATGGAGAAACTTCTAATGGCAAAAAAACAAAATATTTCATATTTCCTAGGAGAAAGAATGAACACCTATTTTAGATATTTGACGTACTTTTAGATCACTGTCTTCTAACTACCCTCTTTATAATGAAATTAAGAATACTTATAGTGAATCTGAAGCAGTTAAAATTCAAAATAATATTCCAAATTATTTTTTTGATAACCAGTTTTCATTGTAGTTGTTTGTTTGCTTGGGGGTGGGTGGGATAATGAGTTTGAATTACAAAAGAAACCTAGTATCATTGTCCTTACTTGTTTGTGAAAATTAATATAAAATGAATGTGATAAATTATAGATTATTGAAAACTAATAACTGTTAAATACTAAAATATCTAAGTAACAGTTTAGCAACTGTGAAATCAAATAATAAAATGGAAATAGGTTTTTCTCTTTATCATTTTTATCACATAAAGTTTAAAGGTAAATGTAAAAATCTGTGCTAATTATTTTAAATTAAGTCAAAGTCCAAAAAGAAATACTTGGAATAGCTTACACTAACCAAATAAGAAATTATAACAGATAACTTCATGTCATGGTTCCCGTGCTGTGATGATTTTAAATTGGAACTCATTTCTCAGATAGGTTGTTTATTTAACATTTTTAGGATCTGTCAATAAGATCACTTTTGTTGTGAATAGCCTATTTATTTTGATTAAAATGGGCCCCCTCCCCCACCAATGAAACACTGAAACAGAGGCCAAGAGTAATACCTGACTACAAAATGCCCCAGCAAGATCTTGCAAATCCCTGAGGATTCAAATGAAAAATCAAATAAAGACAAAAAAATGTCAGTGCCTCTTGCAGACTCCATATGCACACTTGAAGAAAGATTTTTCTGCAGACTTTGGGTAGTTTTAGACATAACCAACTGACTAGGAATTCCTTTTGTAGATTTTTCATATATTTTTATACTGTGCATCATAGATATTTTAAATTTTCTATTCTCATTATGAAGTACGCTTTTTAAGTCAACTTTTCTGTGCTGGTTGAATATCTGATGAGGTTTCAAGGAAATATGTATTGTTGCTTCCCATTAGAAGGAAAATGAAAACTTATAAATCATTATGATCTCATCAATGACTAAATATCTTTGTTAGGATATGTTTATACACTAACATAGTTTAGCGTATACCTAAACTATGTTTAGGGTATACCTATACCCTAACAAGGTATAGTTTATAATTCTTTCTCAAAATCCAAATATTATGTGAATGGCTACTTAAACAAGATAAACTCCCAAATAAATTTGAAATTTCAGAAAAGAATTTTGAACTTTATGTAATTTAAACCCACAATATAATTCAAAAGAGAAATATTGAGGATAAAGGTCAAATTTGCTTCAGAATGAGGAAGTAATCATAAATCCTATGATGATTATTCCAAAATATTTAGGCAAAAATAAATTAGTAAACCATGTGGATGATCTCTCCAGAAGGGTGTGATAAGCTTTTTTCAATGTGCCCAGAGCAGGCCTCTTCCAGTAAATGTTAACTTGGTATAAGGAATTAAAGGTCAATGGAGAAACCCTGTGACCTCAGGGATCAAGAACTATAACTTAAAGAATGCAGCAAGGGCTATAGAGGCTACAAAATATTTTTTGTCTTTGCCTAATGATTTGCCATTTTCCTAATCAAAGAAAGCAGTCACACTTCCCCTTTTATTATTTATTTATTTATTCATTGGTTTATTTATTTATATTTACATCATTGTTAATTTTTAAACAATGTTTGCTTCCCCCTCCTCAGGTGTAGTCCCCATAGAATTTCCTCCACTAATTCACCCGTGCACCATCACCACAGTGCCCTGTGCTCCTCCTCCCTCCGATCCCTCTCCCTTCCCCTCCCCTGCAGGATGTCTCTGGTTTATAATTGTTTGTTTTTGTTTTGTTTTGTTTTGTGTATTTTATTGTTATTATTTTTTCCCTTGATGTCTTATTTGGTTCCCCAATATTCCAACTCCCCTTTTAAAGACACTAAACAACATTGTTTGGGAACTGTCATTTAGGTATAGGCTCTTCATAAAAGTGCCCTCCCTATATGAGAAACTCATCATTTTATCCTGAGAGTAAAAAGATGAGGTCATCCTCTCCTTATCTGTAATGTGAAATCTTACCTCTCTCTCCTTGACACCCCAGCTCTATGTTTTTTAGACTTGACATTATGTAAATTCTCGAGATAGATCATTAAATGTGTGTCATGGTCCTGAAATCTAAGAAAAAAATTTTCTATAAATGTACCACTCTTAGAAACTGTATATTTAGAATTTATATGATAACTTGATTTCAGAAACAGATCCCATTTTGATGTCCTGTGGCATGTTGGCCCAAACTATTTTCTCTTTCCTACCACATAGGATTTCTATTTTCTCTAATCATCTTTCATTTTATCCTTTCAATATTTGTCTACATAGCTTAATTTTTTTAAAGATTTATTTATTTATTTTCTACAAGAACCGGGGTACAGGCTAGATGCACGGGAGGGTGAGAGGATTTGCCAGAGACAGAGCGGGGAACAGACCACAGGCAGACTGACTAAATACACTGTTGGGAGCAGCAGGCCAGGCAAGAGAGGTCTACTGCGCCATGCGGGACCCTCGCCGGCCAGCCGAGATCAAACTGGCGCTGCAGAGGTTGCAGACAGCTTCACAGCGCCGCGCTCAACCGCCTGCGCTACCAAGGGAGGCCAACCATCTTGAAAAAGATGGTTTTGTGACTAAAAAAAAAAAAAAAAAAAAAAATAGGGAATTGCTAACTCCAGACTTTCTTTCATTGTAAGCTCAAAGAAAAGAAAAGGAATATGCATATGATTAAAATTGTATTTTTTCTATGCTAGATACACTACATTTAATCTGCACTAATTCAGGTTCCAATATTTCTAAAATTCTCCTTTCTGGGGACTCAATAAATGAAGCAAAGGTGGAAAGTGTTGGAATTCCTGGAGGTTTTTTTTTTTTTAATTGCTGAAATTATGACAACATGACTCCTTCTCTGGACATATTCCATGATTTTTTTTTTTAAATTTATTTAAAGAGATTTATTTATTTACTCATACAAGAACTGGGGTACAGGCCAGAGCTGTGGAAGGTGAGAGGATTCACTAGAGATAGAGTGGGGAACAAAACAGGCAGACCTACTGAAATACATTGCTGAGGGGAGCAGCGGGCAAGACAGGAGAGGTCTGCTGCACCATGTGGGTAGCTCCCTGGCTGGGGATCAAGTTCATCCTGCAGAGGCTGCGGATAGCTTCATAAATTGTGTCTTAACCGCTTGTGCCACCAGGGAGGCACATGATCTTCTTTGAAGAGTATCCTTTTTCCATTGTGTTGACATATGTCTAACACAGGTGATCTAAAAAAAAAGATTATTTATGCATACAAGAACTGGGGTACAGGCCAGAGGTGTGGGGGATGAGAGGGTTCACCAGAGACAGAGTGGGGAACAGAACAGGCAGACTGACCAAAATACACTGCTGAGAAGAGCAGTATGCCAGACAAGAGAGGTCAGTTGTGCCATGTGGGCTGCTCCCTGGCTGGGGATCAAATTTGTGCTGTGGTAGCTGTGGATTGCTTCATAGTGGTGATGGTTAACCCCTTGTGCCACCAGGGAGGGCCTGATCAGAGTACTTTTTAACACTGAAAGTTGCTTGGAAGAGCCATAGTTGCTGCATAAACTGTTGTCTTGCTACATAAACAAGAAGTTTGGTGTTCTTGGAGAAATCATGATAGTTACAATATTCAGTAACTTTCTGCTTATATATTCAATTTAACAACCTAGCTACATGTGTTATTTTATTTTCATGACCCTGAAGAAAATCGTATTAGCTTTACTTTGTGTTTCTCTTGGAACACATTTTATGCTATAGCTTCTTCATTTTAAAAATATATACACATGGGAATTCTCTCACCCTCCCATGCTTCTGACTGTACCCAGTGCTTGTATAAATAAATAAATAAATCTTTAAAAAAAAAAAAGATTTATTGAAACATTAAAATACACACACACACACACACACACACACACACACACACACACACATGGGCCTCCCGTGTGGTGCAGGCAGTTGAGCGCCACACTGTGAAGCTGTCCGCAGCC